CACATGCCAGCCCGCCCCGCCCCCTGGTGGGCTGAGCTGGCCACACACACACACACACACACACACACACACACACACACATAAATAAATAGAAATTTTTTAAAATAAATAAATAAATCCTGCAGAATATCAAATGCTGTGCTTGGGTACTCACCATCCAGATTTCGGGCAGGTGAGGGTCCTCTGAGATCACAGCCCAGCCTCAATCCTGTGCTTCTACTGGTCAAGTCTGACTTCCTCCTCGGGCTCCGGATCAGATCTAACCAGCCTGGCATCTTGGCTTCTCCTCTAGGCCAGTCACTGTACCAGCTGTCATCACTCACAACAGCCCCCAAACACATGCACCCTGACACACCTGGCAGTTTCTTACCCGCTCTCCTCATCTCAGACTGCCACCTTGTCTCTCCCCAGGATGCCTTTCCCTGAAAGTTATCCCCACGTACGTAAACCCCTCCCATTCTCCAAGGTCAAGCTCAAGTGCTCCTCCACACAGAACAAATGCCTCCTCCTGGAATTCCTACACTAATCCTTTTCTTCTGAGTCCATATTTTCTACCCATACATGTGTGCCCTATGCCCCATGCCCATGCAACTGAGTCCAAAAGGTCTGAAAAAGGACAGTATATAGAGTGTGTTTTGTACACTGACTTAATAAGTGTAGATGCAGCCCCAGCACAGGGAGAAAACTATCTATCAGGGATAGGTGGGTCAAAAGACTGAGAAAGCCCAGTTAAGCCCCCAAACACCAAGAACTCCTAACCAAACCACAACAAATACTCGCCCTCAGCAGATACTGTATCTTCAGCCCTTCATGTCAAGCTTATAACAAGCAGCATAGGAGGCAATGTGAGAGTATATTTGAACAAGCATTTAGAGACTCTTCTTTCAATTAAAAAGTGGCATAACTATAGGCTAGTAATTTAGCAGCTACACTGTTTCATGTTTTAATTTCTTTTACTTGAAATCTGACCTCCCAAACGCAGTAAAAGTGAAAGACACATGTGCAGTACCCAGCAAAATGAACATATCCACCACATCCGTCACTGCGGCTCAGTGTCCGGGCCACGCTGACCCACAGTCCTCACTTGGCCTCCTTGCCCCTCTGCCACATTCTTTTGGGTAAACTCTTACTATGTGTCTTATTCCAAAAACAAAATCTTTCCCATCCTCCTCTAATTAAGCATTTTCATTTTACACTCCACAAGGAAATATGAAAAGAAATTTCTGAGACCTAAGTCAGGAGTAATTAACATCAAAATATCTCAAACCTATATGCAAATATATTTTAAGTTGATCTAATAGCTTCCTCATTTGATAAGTATTTATCAAGAAGCACTTCTGCACTGGGCTAGAAACAATAGATCTTTGAAGGACAAAACAGGAAATGTGCTTCCAAAGAAAAGAAGTTAAGGGTAGCAGCAGCAGAACTATCACCCCAAGTTGGATGTCGCACACATGCATGCTGACACTTCTGCACCAGAAGGAGGCAGGAGGCCTCAAGAAAAATCTGAAGGGAATCTCAAGGTCAAACAGGTCAAACAGTATACCCTATGACAAAGTGTCAAAAGAAAAACAAAGGAACAAAAAAAAAAAAACCTTAAAATCTTGCAACCTCATATCTATTATTACTATACTCTCTTTAAAATAAAATTTTTAGAAAAAGGTAATAAAAGAAAAAGACAAGAACAAAAATTTAAGATTTCTTGAAAGTACGCAGTAATATTCAATCACATGTCCCATCTTGGATAACTGTATCTGTTAATCTGAGTAACAGATTTGACGATAAAAAAGATAATATATCAATCATTGTTAATCGGCTATTCTTGTTTTGAAAATCTGTAACATATGTATTGTTGTAAGTTACTCTGTTTCTATGTTTGTTTTTGTTTTTCTTGCCTTTGTTTTTAACTCTTCAAAATAAAATTATAATAAAAAAAACTTGCAACTCCTTTGGCCTTAAGAATACTTTTCATCTGAGAAGTGAATCAGGTCAGATATTAGCTACCTATCAGAATGTAAAATACTTCTATTTTAACACTAGAAGATCAAGCGCCATTCATATCGCTTGAAAATGAGTGATCTTTCCCATTATATTTTATTACACAGTGCAAACTGTGTATATTCAAATATCTGTGAGTATTTAAACTTTATCAAGGATCCTCACCATGGTTTAACCCTCTAAATCTATGTTCAAGACAACAATATGTGATGTATTAATTATTAACTGTCTTACTAAACTGTTTTGCAACTGTTTCATTGCTATTTCTTTCTCAATAAAATTAATAAAAATAAATAAAAAAATACAACTATGTTCAATGTGGTTAGCCATACCAATGGTGAAATTAGGCAAATATATAAAATAATTTTAAAACTACAAGGAGCTATCTGAGAAATAGTGCTATAAATTGAAGGATAAGTTAATAATTAACTCTGAACTAGTTATGTATAACATATATCATAAACACATATTAAAGTACTCTTACCTTAAATAGGTACCATATATGAAGAATAATGCCATCATCAGTCCATTTAAAATAAAAATTACAGCAACGTAAAAGCAAGCAGGATCCCCCAATCCTTGAAAAATAAACAAAACATGTACTAACTATAAACGACTTTATATGTCTGGCAATTTATATTAAATAGCACTTAGTATGAAAACAGTTGCCAGGGCAATTAAAGGCTGCCACGCTTCCTGTGCGAAAACAGCCAGAGTGCAGAATGAGGGTGAGAAGAGGGGCAGGTATGCTGGCTCCATGTGGGCTCAGAGCCCACCGGTGCGCCTCCTGGGCACCCTGGAGCCTGTGTCCAGCTCTGCGCCTGGCGGGGCTGCAGACGCAATGCCAGTCCTCAGTAGACTCGGGTTTGAGGCCACACAGTGTACAGCCTGGGGCCCAGAGCTGCCACAGGAAAAGCTGCAAGCTGAGATGCCTGACCTGCCACAAGTGACCCCAAGGCAGCGGAAATGCTCTATGGATCTGTCCCAGAGTGGGGCCCACAGAGCTCAGATGGAGGCTAACCAGGATCCAGGGAGCCCTTGGGGGCGTCCTCCCCCCTCCCCAGCCTTCACAGTACCCCTGGGCACAAGGGAAGCCTGCTTCAGCTGGGCGCAACTTCAGACTTGTGGAACACAAATGCCATGAAATGTTTACTGCTTGTCCCACTCAGTCTGGGGCAAGCTCGTTGTCCTGCACAGCTACGGCAGTAGGGTTACGGAAAGCAACGCACCTTCACAGCTTTCTATGGGACTCAGCCCTTCCCCTCTGGTAACTGTCCAACAGATCTTGGTCTGAACACCAACTACGTCCATTGTTTTGATATAAATCCTGTACCAGTTGGCCAAGATTACCTATTATTAAAAAAACAGAGGCATCATAAGACATTAAAGAGTTTTTATTGCTAGAATATTTTTAAGACATTTTCATAATCTTTAAGTTTTCCTTTCTTGTGTTCCTCACCTGGCTTGGCTCCTTTTATATTTAAATAAATGAGACTCCCTGCAGTACAGATTCTTCACTGGTCAGTGTTTGGTCACTCATTCGTAAGAATAAAATGCAATAAGAAATTTGTAAGAAAAAAAAATTTGCAAGATGAATGTTTTCAAAAACTGGTAGGGATATAAATGAAACTATGAACAGAGAGACACTGTGTCTACTTCACTAGACCTAATTTTTCGAGCTATAAATTCACACTCAAATTAATCCCTAAGCATTAAGCTAGCTTAGTCAAAACACCAAGTGTCTAAAATTTATCAGGAAAAAAACCAATGGAGATTAACACAACTATATCTTAAAAACTATGAAAATGAATTGCATAATATAATTAAGGCCGTGTAATACTGACAGAGGACTCAGAGAATGACCATCACCCTCCAGCTGATGGTGAGCAGTAGACCCCGCCCTGTGGTGGCACCTATGGAACCAAGTGGGGTAGCCGGACCCTGTGCAAACATGCTCCAGGGCAGGGACAGGAAGTCACTCTAGGTCACACTGTTGACCCAAGGTTAGCAGCATTCAACATGCGACCAGCAAGCCCACAAAAAGAGCAGCAAAAGTCGCAGGATAGTGGGCCTTGCTGTCAGACAGGACAACTCCACAGTGCCCCCGAGTAACAGCGACAGGGTGGAGGGGAGCCTGGCCCTCTGCTGTGACTCCAACCTCCCGCGCATCCTACTCGCCTCATCCACCCTGGGATTTGTAGCGCAAGACCACCTCCCCAAACACATCTGCAGGCAAACCTGCATCCCACAGCCCACCCACCTCCAAGACCCTGGCCCAAGTTGCTGCTGAGTGCCTGGCAGTGCTCCAGTGCAGCGATTTTTATAACAGTCCACCGCCGATGTGCGGGGGAAGGACTGAGCACTCAGAACAGTGTTGGCATACACAGATCAGTCTTTTAAAAATCACAAATTTAAATTCCTGTCTCACAGTATGATTAAAACAAATTCTTAGGGGCCGGGGAAATAGCTCAGTAGAATAAGCATTTGCCTGGCAAGTGCAAGGACCTGAGGTCAATCCCCGGTTTCGCCAAAAAAACAAAAACAAAAACAAAAAAGCAAATTCTAAATAAATTTTAAAAGCAAATATAAAAAATAAATTGAGATTATAACAAATGAAGGCCAGGGAAATGGCTCAGTGGAATAAGTGCTTCCCTGGCAAGCGCAAGGGCCTGAGTTCAATCCCTGGTTATTCCAAAAAAAAAAAAAAAAAAGAAGAAGTTTTACATACATGCATAAAAGATACAAATTAAAACATTCTCAGATATAATATCTATATGTATAAAAATATGCATACATAAGTAAACAGTGAGCAAGAAACTAAGGGAAATGTTTAATAGTACAGCATAATATTAACATGCTGTACATAATAAATGAGCACTTACAAAATTCCAACAGATATATGCAAAGCACATGAGCAAGTAATTACTTTTAAAAGTAAAAATGCATTATATTTACATAGCACCAAAATGGGTGTTTATATACAATATATCATATATATGAATAAATGAAACACACTGACTAATTACAGTTTCTTTATCCAACTCACAAGGATACACAGAAACATTTTCAAAAACACTGCTGGGATTTCCATTAGTATAACCAACATGGAAAGCATGTTGGCAGCATGTCCCAGCCATGGAAGTATATATTCTCCTGAACAAAACAGTTCCACATAACAAATGTTTCATTTAGAACAATAAGGATGTAGGTAAGGATTTAGCTTTGGATATTTACTGTAGCTTTGCTCAGAATATTTAAAAGACTGGAAGTAATCCGAATTTCCATAAAAGCTGGGCTAAACAGGCAAGGGCAGACCATATGCATGGCAGAGGGCAGAGACGACCCAGGAAGAAGGTCAGAAATAGTCTTAAATGCCAAAGGCACCATAAAAACATTGCACACCTTGTGATGGCACTCCAGCGACATCAAACTCTCTGTGGCCATACATAGTGCTCAAAAGCACACATATGTGAGGACTCCTGACCTTGGTGGCAACCCCCATCTCATTATGTGGTGGCCAAACTCCTCTTGCTTGGTGAATACCCACAGAGACCAACTGCACAAGGAGACCAGAGTCCCTGCCCTGTCTGCCACCACAGCGTGCTAAAAGAGGGAGATGAGGGAGAGCCGCCAGCAGAAGAGGGGAAGGCGAGGCCAAAATAAGTGGCTTGCATCACAGCTCTCCTCCCACAGCTCCTGCCCACCCAGCCAAAAAGGCCACTCAGTGAAAGAGGAGCAGCAGCCAGGCAGGAGTATGAGGTCGGGTGGCGCTGCCACTCCCTGAAGCGACAGGACACCCTAGGGCAGACAACTGTCAGGGCTCCTAAGCAGTGCGACCACGCTAGCAGTGGTTCCCACGGGTTCAGCTAAAGGCTCCACAAAGTTACTGGCCATGTGTAGTCCACATCCCTTCTTAAGATTCATATTCTCTTTAAAAAGAAATGAAACGTAAGGCACTGAATTAGATCTCAGATTTCAAATCAGCCTTTAATATAAAAAAAAAGTTTTGAAAATGCAAAAAATCACAGTTGGAGAAAGTCATTTACCTCAGGGTACAGATTGAACCTTTTCAGTGTGTTAATGACTAGGGGGTATTCTGTCAGGTTATCATTCATAATCATCCACACACCATGCAGGAATGAGGGTGCTTCCACAATGGTCTTGAAGTAAGAATAATACAGTCCCTGAAATAAAGATATGCTCCAGTTATAATAAAAAGGTAATTATACCTCCACTTAGCTTGAAAAACATTTCAAATACACTTTAAAAAAAAAAAAGCACTCAAGCAAATAATAGCTACAACTAATTTCACAGGTTTCTGATCATTGATGAATTAAGTTGCAAAAAAACACATATTTTAGAATAGCCTTATCTTAATTGAAATAAATGTAAAATAGCTTCAAATACAGTGTCAACATTTAGAATGCATATATACATAAAATTCAGTATAGTTCATCTAAGAAAATTCTACAACTTCCTAGTAATATAAATGTTAGAAAAACCTATCTTATGAGTAGTGTGGTTTATTATGGAACTAAAATTTACCAGGAACCAAGAAATTTTTCCAGTCTCAAAAAACTCCCTCCTAAATACTTATTTGAATGCAGAAAATGCCATCAATTATCTTTCCTCCAGATTTATATGCAAGGATGCAAATTTCTTCAGAAAGCTGCATACTGACGTATTACATATAAATTTCTTTCAAAAATTAATTGTGGATCCTTTTCCTGCATTAGCTCAGCATGAGGACCCTGTGAGACTTGCGGCTGGGATTGTGCTGTTCTGAAGGAGAGACTGCTAGTCATCCTGACATCCTAAAGGAGCAGGGGCCAAGTGACACCGGACAAAGACCACGGAGGATGGAGCCACACAGGGAGAAGTAGAAGAGGCAGTGTGAGGACAGAAAGATAAATGCGGCTATAAGTGCCGCCTTCTGTCCAGTGGGGCCTGCCACCACCCTGCCAGCCTGGGCCAAATTCTAAACTGAATTTTAGAATTACAAATACAAACATGATTGTCTCCCCAGATATTTACTGGAAATTAACAACTATGATACTATGACGCTTTGGCTTTCATCTCTTCTAGCACTACTGTTAAATTGTAGCTCCTTCCATTTTGAGTTGAATCCTGGCCGCCACAATTTCAGGTCCAGGAGAACCTGTGAATTTAACCTGATTTGGAAACAGGGTCCTCACAGATATGTAATGAAGTTAAGAGGGGGCAAAAATGGATGAAGGTGGACTTCACACCCAGCATAACCAGCTCTGTGGAAGCAGACAGAGATCTGGACATAGACAGCAGGCATACAGGAGCGGGGCCTCACAGGACAGGCAGGGGTCGGGCCACCTCAGCCCCAGGAGCCCAGATGCGAGGCAGGCAGCAGAAGCAGGCAAGCAAGGGTCCTCCCTGCCCACCCTGCAGACGGGATGGCCACACCAGAAGCTGAGTTTTAAGTCTGACCTGGGAATCAAAAGAAAATGAATTTCTGCTGCTTTTGGCTTCTGAATTTGGTGTGCTTTATTGCAATCCTGGGAAACTGCCAGACTTACTCTGTTTTGTAGGTTTGATTTTGTAAGCATAGAAACGTCATACTTAATAATAATCCAAAATATTTAAATTATTAATTATCGAAGTAAAAATAGAGTAAGGTGGGCATCATGGTGCACACTTGCCACCTGAGGCTGAAGGCAGGTGGTTTATTGTGAGTGGGAGGCCAGCCAGGGCTACACATGAGTTCAAGACCAGCCTGAACTGCACAGCAAGATCCTGTTTCCAAAAAAATCAAGCCAAAATAAAACAAAGAAAAAAAATTTTATCAAATTGGGGGGCTAGCCAAATAACCCAGAGGATTAAAGTACCTGTTTAGGCAGACCAGACGCAGGGGCCTGGAGTTGTTGCCCAGGTCTGCTGTGCAGGTATGGCCTTGTCCCAAGGGTGGGGCTAAGACCAAGATTGAGACTGGGCATGGTCAGACACGCCTGTAATCCCAGCACTTGGGAGGCTGAAACAGGAGGCTCACTATGAGTCCTATCTGTGTAGTGAAGCCCTGAGGTTCCTTGACTAAAATGTTTTTTAAAAATCTGTTTCCTAATTACACTCCCTACAAGGCTTCAGTGCAGTGGCTGATCCAGGGCAGTGATCTGTGGACCAAGTCTTCTCAATCCCTTTCACAGTAAGAGCAGTGGGTATCTGGAGAACCAGGGAGCCCAGAGAGGGAAGGGCCTGCAGGACTTGGAAGTTGGAGGTACAGAACACCTAGGTAACTAGAAGTTGCTAGAAAAGCAACTCATGTTTTCAGAAAGTGGTAAGTAAAATGAATGATGTATGCTCCCGTCTTTATCTTATAAAGTATACCTCACAAAGAAACAAAACAAGTACTGTGGGAAAGTCCTTCCTTATAGAACTAGAATCAAAAGGGCAGGAAAATAATAGATACCACCATCCAGCAGGCTCAGAGGAGGGCTCAGCACTTCTTAAGCCCATGACCCAAACTCAGCATCTCAGAAAGACAGAAAATGCAGCCTGGTGTGCTGTGGCATGAGGCAGAATGATGTCACAGCACCTGCTAGGCAGAGTGGTGCACACCCTTAATCCTCGCACTCTGAGAAGGCTGAGGCAGAAAGACTACAAGTTCAAATCCAGATCCAGCAACTTAGTGACTTAGGAAGACCCCCATCTGAAACCAAAACACTAAAAATGGACTTGGGATACAACTTAGGGTGAAGGTCCTGGGTTCAGTTTCAACTACCAAAACCAACTAACCAATCAAACAAACAAATACAGACAAACAAACAAAACAAGTGAACAGTACTACCTGGAAGTATTCCTACTAGAAAAAAATTTAAAAGGCAGCTCTCAAGATTCTAACTCATCAATTTCCAGGAAAATTGGTATAGGAAAACACCATAAATAACATGAATTAGAGTCAGGGATGTAGCTCAGTTTAATTTCATCTGTGACCCACTGGTTGCTAAGTAGGGTGTTGCTTAATTTCCATGTATTTAGGGGGGTCTTTCTGGTTTCTTTTGTCATTTATTTCCAGTTTCATTGCACTGTGGGCAGATAATATGAATGGGATAATTTCTGCTTTCTTGCTTATACTTAAGCATGACCTATGGACTAGTATGTGGTCTATTTTAGAAAATGACCCATGTGCAGGTGAAAAGAATGTGTATTCAGCTGTGTTTGGGTGGAACACTCTGTATATGTCCACCAAGTCCATTTGTTCCAAGCTCTGGTTCAGTTCTGCTATTTCTTTGCTAATTTTTTGTCTAGTTGACCTATCTTTTTTAGGTAAGGTGGTGTTGAGGTCTCCTGTTAAGATTGTAGTCTTATTAGATTTTTCATGTTCATTAAGATTTGTCTTATATGGTAGGGTGCTCCTGCATTTGGTATATTGATATTTATGAGTATTACCTCTTCCTCTTGAATTTGTCCCCTAACCAGTATCAACGGCCTTCTTTACTTCGTTTGATCATTCTTGGTTTGAAGTTGAGACTGTATGAAAACAGAATTGCTACCCCTGCTTTTTTCTGAGATGCTTGGGTATGTAGTATTGTTTTCCATCCTTTGACTTTAAACCTATGAATGCTCACCAGGCCTGGGCTGGGCTGGATCTCGGGATGTAGCTCAGTGATGCAGCACCTGCCTAACAAGTACAAGGTCCTAGGTTCAATACCTGGTACCAAAAAAAGAGGGGGAAAGGTCTCTTAAAAATAGCAGGAAATAGTGTAGACAATTTTATAAGATAGATGTCTGTGGCTCTTCAATGAACAGATGACAGAAAAACAAAATAACAACAACAAAAAATGGAAAAAGGGAAGAAAAATGTACAGCTCAGACTGAAGAATACCTCAACTAAGGGCATATGTAGATCCTGATTGGATCTACATGATTGGATTGCATGATGTTTTTAAAAATACCCCTAAGTTCATTTAAGCACCAATTTCTATTTGGTAATACTGAGAAACTGTTCATTGTTTTCCAATGTGACAGTGGAACTGTGGCTAACAAAAAACAAGAAAGTCTTGCCTTTCGAGACATAGGTGAGAGTGTGCGCACGTGAAATGACACAGTATCTTGAGTTCCCTTAAGAGAGATGGGTGAGTGGAGGTATGGATAGGTGTGGTGACCACTGCTTAAACTGGAAGGGGGCACGGGGAAGTCACCCATCCTTTCTATCTTGGAACAGCCTTCTAAACTTTTCCATGAAAAAAGTTCAAATTTCCAAGACTCCTTAAAGTACTGCAACAAAAAAATGTTATGGTAACTAACCATTTCAGTGCGAAAAGCCATCTCCCTTTCCAGTGTAGAGAGGTGAGAAAAATGCCGGTCATTTTCAAAGAGGCGTGTTATATGGCTCCTAGAAAAAACAAACAACAAAGCAGCACCACTGAAACTTATACTACGTACCATTTGTAAAATAACTCTAAAAGCAACAATTTGTAGACGATTTTGTAATAATACCAGTACAACGATAAGTATACTTGTTTTCTATTCATTAGGTGTTACATTTTTATTAAAATTTTTCTCCATGAGAAAATATTCAAATGAGATTTTAAAATTAAAACAGGGGACCAGGGAGATGGCTCGGCAGTCTAAGATCCTGCCTGGCAAGCACAGGGCCCAGGTTCCATCCCAGGTATAGCATGTTGGGCCTGCCCCACTCCGGGTGTGCACTGCAGGCCACAGAACCTGGGCATGGTAGCCCACGCCTGTAATCCCAGCACCGGGGAGGCTGAGCCAGGAGGATCATTATGAGGGAGAGCTGTGTAGTGAGACCCTGTACCAAACACATAAATGAAAACATTTTAAAAATAAAATTAAAACAAATCTGAACAATGACATTTTACGTAAAATACAATAAAAGTATAGTTTAAACAGTAAATGTCATGGGGGTACCATTTCAGAAATACCTGATTAATGCAATTCATGTATCTTTTCCCTCTCCAGAAGATTAAAAGAATTAATCTTCCTCTCAGCATGAACACTATTAATGCTAACTGAAGTAGTGTGAAATATAGCTTTCTTAATAATAGATCTGTCTTTCATTAAAAATTGTATTATTCTAACCCTGATGTAGCAACTAAACTACTTTTTCAGACTATTGTGCTACATGT